CGCCCCTCCCCAGGCCTTTACCAAACTATTGTCTGTGTCCATGGGTTATGCATATATGCGTATAAATTCTTTGGTTAATCTCTTTCCTCTGAGGTTCCTTAGTCTGTTCCATGCTTCCATGCCTCTGGATCTATTTTGTTCATCGGTTTATTTTGTTCATTAGATTCCACATATAAGTGAGATCTGCAAAGAGCAAAGTTTTTAGCTGACTTTCTTTTTATATAAATTAGAACTGATTAAAGGATATTTGAAAACAATTTACCTTTTGTACACTTCATTCACTTATTTACTTAACAAGCACATAATTGAGTGCCTGTTGTGTGTAGAACTCTAAGTTGGCCCTGGGGAAACATCAATGAACAAAATAGCAAGACAGGATAGATCTTCTAACAAATTCAATCATAACTAACAAGTAGTCAAAATAAATGGTGTGCTGGGGAATAACAGGAATAGCAGGAAGACCTAGGCTAGGGGTTGGGAAGGGCTTTGTGGGTTAGGGCTGCTCATCTGAGACGAAGGACAGTGTGACTCATCCAGATAAGAGGGGAAATAGATAGGAATCCTAAATGGAAGAGAAAGGTGGGATTGATAAGGCAGGAAGTTATGCATGACCTGCTGTCCAAATGACCTGTGCACACCCTGGAAGTGTATCCTGTACTAAACATCATCTGTCCTGTGGGCATAGACATAATAACCACAATAAGGTTGGAACACTTAGCACATCCCCATGTGCCCCTAGCAGGACATTGCTTTTTTAAAAATTTTCAGCTTTATTTAAGTATTATTGACATATAACATATTTAAGTTTAAGGTGTAGAATGTAATGATTTGATACAGGTATATGTTGTAAAATGATTATCACATTAAAGTTAATTAATGTCTCCATCCCCTCGCATAATTAGCGTTTAGTATTGTCAGCTGTAATCACCATGCTGTATATTAGATCCCTGGAGCTCGTTAATCTCATTACTGGCTGTTTATACCCTTTGCCCAGTATCTCCCCATTTCCCCCCCCTCACACGCAAGCCCCTGGCAAACACCGCTCCATTCTGCCTGAGTTCAGATTTTTTTGGATTCTACATGTAAATGATATCATCCTGTATTTGTCGTGCTCTGTCTGACTTATTTAACTCAATATAATGCCCTCAAGTCTCACCCAAGTTGTGGAAGCAGAAGGATTCCCTCCTTTGTCGTGGCCGACTAACACTGACTTGCATATGTAAGCACAGGGCCATTGTCCGTTCATCTGTTGATGGACACTTAGGTTGTTCCCATAGCTTGACTGTTGGGAACAGCTGCAATGGACATGGGAGTGCCAGTGTCCTTTGAGGTCTCATTTTCATTTACTTTGGATATACATCCAGATACGGGATTGCTGGAACATATACTAGTTTTTTTTTAATTTTTGAGGAACCGCCGTGCTGTTTTCCATAGCGGCTGCACCAATTTACCTTCCCACCAACAGTGCACAGAGTTCCCTTTACTCCACATTCTCGACAGTTGTTATTTCTTGTCTTTGTGATAATAGCCATTTTTTTCTAACAGGTGTGAGATGATATCTCCTTGTGGTTTTGACTTACATTTTCCTGATGATGTTGAATACCTTTTCAAGTACCTGTTAGCCATTTGTATGTCTTTCTTGGAAAAATGTTTATTTAGATGCTTCCCCCCATTTTAAAAACAGATTGTATGGTTTTTGTTATACAGTTGTATGAGTTCCTTATATAATTTAGATATTAACTCCTTGTCAGATAGTTTGTAAATCTTTTCTCTCATTCCGTAAGTTGCCTTTTCATTTTGCTTGTGGATTCTTTTGCTGTACAAAAGCTTTTTACAAAGTGAACATGCAAAGGTTTTAGATTTATTTTTTAATTTATTTTTAATTGTAGTTAACATATAATAACTAAATTATATTAGTTTCACATGTACATCATAGTGATTCAACATTTATATACCTTACAAAATGATCACCACAGTAAGTCTAGTAACCATCCGTCACCGTATATCGTTATTATGATATTATTGACTCTGTTCCCTTTGCTGTACATTACATTCCTGTGACTTATTTCATAACTGGAAGCTTGTGCTTCTTAATCCCCTCCCCTTTTTCCAGGCATCCTTCCAACCCCCTTCCCTCTGACAGATATCAGTTTGTTCTCTGTGTCTGTGAGTTTGTTTCTGTTTTATTTTGTTTGTTCATTTGTTTTCTAGATTTCATATATAAGTGAAATCATATGGTGTCTGTCTTTCTCTGTCTGACTTATTTCGCTCAGCGGGATACCCTCTAGGCCCATCAACGATGTCACTTTTTAACTGGGTTCCTTTCTCTTCAGTTTTTATGTATTTTTGTATGGTTTTGATTTGTGGTCACCTCCTGCCCTGGGTTGTTCCCTCAGCTCCTGGAGAGCTCTCGTGGTTTCCTGACCTTCTCGCTGTAGTCCCTCTCTCTTGCTTTTTGGGCAGAAGCTGTTCGATTGGCTCACCGTTGTCTCTCAGGAGGAATTGCTCTGAATATAGCCATATGGCCAACGTGTTCTTGGAAAGGGGCGAGTTCCCCATCCACCTCCACCACCACCTTGGGCCCACCTCCCATGTTGTCGCTTTTTAGTCTTATGTAGTCCCACTCGTTTATTTTTCCTTTTGTTCCTTGTGCTCTTCTTGTCAGAAAACCACTGACAAGACAATGTCAAGGAGCTTTCTTCCTGTTTTCTTCTAATAGTTTTATAATTTGGGGGGGCTTACATTTAAGTTTTTAATCTATGTTGAGTTAATTTTTGTGAGTGTTTAAGATAGGGCCCCAATTTCATTCTTCTGCATGTGAATATTCAGTTTTTCCAAAACCATTTACTGAAGAGACTATCCTTTATCCACTGAGTATTCTGGCTCCCTTGTCAAATATTACTTGACCGTATATGTGTGGGCTTGTCTCTGGGCTCTCAGTTCAGTTCCATTGGTCTGTGTGCCTGTTTTAATGACAGTACTATATGTTTTGATCACTGTAGCTTTGTAAAGCGGGGTATTTCAGACCACCTGAGGGCCTGTGCAGTGGTGTGTATAACAGTCATCTCTCAAACAAACAGGCCTGACTTGCAGCATTTGCCAGTTTCCATGCTGTGACCACTCTCACCTTGGCTGATAACTAGCTTCCAATAAGATGTCATTGAATGTGGACTGGGAAGAGATATGGGGTAGCGCTCCATTATATATCATTTCTACAATACAAACAATAGATGCAAATAACCCCAAAAGTACAGATAATAGTAAAATGTGATGAAATAATAAAAAAGCAATGAATGTTGAATATGTATTAATTTTGTTTTTAATATATTTATTTAACCGTAATTTATATTATTTTTTAGAAGTGGATGTGTTTAATAGCTGCCTCACAAAATCCTGCAAATTTAACATTCAGCTCTCACGTGCCTGTGCAGCCAGCTGCAACACACCAGTGGGCCTGGTGTCTTCAGTGCAAATACCACGATCCTTGCCCAGAACAAGTCCTCACTCTTCCTCTCCCTCTGCTTCTTACAGATCAGCAAACAGCAGCTGCAGACAGTCAAGGACCGCTTTCAGGCATTCCTCAACGGGGAGACCCAGATCGTGGCTGACGAAGCCTTCATGAATGCTGTCCAGAGTTACTACGAGGTAAGACTCACCGTACAGAAGAATGGCAAGACAGCTCAGGCCTGTGGCCCAGGGTTTCTGGACTACCTGTCAGTGGGAACAGCAGCCTTGACCTTCTCTAGGACCATGCCTCCTGAGGCAAAGGGGTGGGTGATTGCTTACAATTTTAGGGCATAATAGCATTTTATTTGGGGGAAAACTGTAAACGAGGCTCCTGTTTACCAACTGATTTTTATACCAGGCAGTGGCTGTGTGCTTTACATGCAATGTCTTGTTTAATCCTTACAGCAGCCTTAAGAGTTAGGTCCCAATATTATTTCCATTTTACTGATGAAGAGACTGAGGCTCAGAGAGGTTAGGTCAATTACTCAAGGTCACACAGCTGTTTAAATTCCAGAGCTAAGACTTGAAGTGAGTCAGGAGCATATTCCCACCACTTACAACCTTTCTGAAGAATGTCAACATCTCCTGAGGATGGTGCCTTCACTATCTTACTTTTCTTTCTATCAAAATGGTGCTGTGAGTCCTTTCCTGCAAGTTAGACCACCGTCCAAAATGCACAACTCTTCTCAGGAGAAAACCTATAAGTGAAAGAATATATCTGAGTATATATCACAAGTACTTTTTCACCTTTAGACCTCAGTGATTTATTAGTAAAGAGAATTCAGAATTCCACCGGCACTTCTTTTTAGCATTAAATATTTATTTACTTTTAAATCTAGGAATGGTAGTTGCCAGTAGTTACCAGGGGGTGGGACAAATGGAAGGTGTTGGTCAAGGGTACAAACTTTCAGTTTTAAGATGAGTAAGTTCTGAGGATCTAGTGTACAGCATGGTGACTATAGTTAGTAACACTACTGTACACTTGAAATTTGCTAAGAGAGTAGATCTTAAATAAAAAGAAGATGCTAACTATCGGAGGTGATGGATATGTTAATGAGCTTGAATATGGTAATCACTTCACTATATATGTACATAAAATCATCACATTGTACACCTAAAAAATCATGTGTACAATTTAAATGTATACAATTTTATTTTGAATTTAATACTTATTCTTACATAATGTGCATATTGGCAGTGTTTGACATACACATGTTCAAAAATGATTATTTGGTCACTGAAAGACATTTTACTTTATCTTAATCTGTTTCCATGTGATCCACATATTTCCTGTGTTTGGAGTCCTGTGCCTTGAATGTCTTACCCATTGTCAAGACCAGGTTAAAAGCATTAGAAACCATCCCCTAAGCATGAAAAACATATGGCATTTTGCCACATGTAATTCAAAGTAACAACAATAAACTCTAAAATAAGTGTAAGGAAATCCAACAAACTGAATTTTTCACCTGTTTTTCACTAATTTCCTTTTTTAAATTATTAGGGAGCAAATTATTTCAGAACAGGAACATTGGTGCTCCCACTTCCACTCCCATCCTCAGCAGATATTTTAACGCTGTTAGTCCATTGACTTAGTGAAGCCCCCTCCCCACTTGCTGGAGCACGCGACCCCTCCTCTCATGGAGAGTGGAGCAAGGCTACAATTAGACCCCAGGAGGGAAGATGTTGTGGATTAGCTTGCCAGCTACTTTCTGTAGTAACCAAATATCTTTGTGGTATTTGCTGAGTCCGGCCACGGACTCATTTTACATGTCATTTCCTCAGTGAAATTTCTATTCGAATATATATTGTAGAAGTTGGGTTCATTTTTATATTTGTCAAATTTAAGCTTTTTTTTTTTCATTTTACCTACACTATTAATTATTGCCCATAAGTGGCAAACTTACTGATTTATCTGATATGATGTAATTTTTCAATTGAATTTAATGGAAAGTGGACCTGAGATTTGGAATCACAGTGATGGTATGGCAGTGAAGAACTTGAATACATTTTACAAAAGTTCTTTCTAGAAACTGCCAGGGAATGAAGTTAATTCCCCCTGACCCCTTTTCAAGTTCTGGAATCCGGTTCTGACCAGGCAAACCCTTATCCGTAGTTCACGTTTAAAGTCATTCAGTTTATAAATTTTGAGAATGCTAATCTTAATTAGAAAGCTCATTTGACTAATGACATAAATTAAAAGAAAGTGCCATTTCTCTCTATTAATTAAATTTGAAAATTAGTCATCAACATGTTAATGAGTCTCTGGCAATTAGCATTATATCTACAGTGATCCCAATATTTTCTTCTATATTGGCCAGTCTGTTTGAAAAAAACTTTTATTTTTAGCCTGTTGAGAATACAGGCTTTGAGAAATTACCGAATATTTAATATTCTTCAGTAAAGCTGGAGAGCCTTGAGATTCACGTTTCCCGGGAGCCTCACCCCCTGCAGCCGAGGCCCCCAGTCACGGGGTCGGGATTAACAGTCTACCTGGCAGAGCCCCAGGCTGATGACACTCCCGCTTCCCTGTCCCTTCGCTCTTGGGTGATGGAGCAGCTTAGTGTCTCTGCCTCTACCCTAATCTGAAATCAGTTACTTTTCTGTCAGTATCTGTCTTGGTCAGGAGTCTTTGGATTACAAATGACAGACACCTACTTCAAACTGGGATAAGCCAAAATGAGGTTTATTTGCTCAAGCAACTTAAAAGCCCAGAGGTAGACCTGGCTTCAGCTCTGGCTGTCCTGAGATGCCAGAGATGCCAGCAGGCTGGGTATCTTCCTCCATACCCTCGGCTTCACTCTTGTCTGTTGGCTTCTTAGGCAGGCTCGTTCCATGCCACCCCAGGAGCAAAGAGATACCTCTTTACTGAGAGCCCCAGCAAAAGGCCAGGTGACTTGGTTGGAGTGACATGGTTTCAGGCGTCTTTTCTGAAGCCAATCACAATAGAAGGGGGTGAAATAGGCAGGGAACCAGGCCCGGGACACATCCACCTCTAGAGCCCCCGTGCAGCCCACTGGAGCCATTCATATTGAAAATGCAGTGGTTTCCCAATGAGAAATTAGGGTGCTTTTTACCAGAAGGGGAATGGTGCGCATCAGAAAACACCACATATATTCTCTTTCTAAACTCTCTCTCAAACACACACACGCTCACACACATACACACTCACACACACTCACACCCTCACACACACACACACACATACACACACACACAATCCACCCCACCACATTACACCTTCACATTCCACTTTACCAAAGTAATGTCACTAAGAAAAGAAAAAAATCTTCTCCCCAGAGTTCTGAGATTATTGCAGTAGACAAAGCCAGTCCGTTTCAGAAGCTGTCCTTGTCATACTAAGGCAGTGATGGTTTGTCACCCAGCAGAGTCAAGAACGGTTTCCACCTGTGCCAGTCAGCCCAGGCTGAACCCGGCTGGCCAGCATTAAACGGCGAGTCGGTGAGACCTGGGGTGAGCTGGGCCAGGGCAGAGGGAGGCCAAGGTCCCCTGTGGCCCTGGAGAGCAGGTGGTTTCCTTTATCCTATCTTGGCGGCCCTGATTGTCAAAGCCGATCCAGCAGGGCTGCAGGTTAACCCTTTAATCTCTTCCATCAGGGCTTCGAGGGCTGGGCGCTGAGGTGGGTGCTCTGAGATCTGGCCCAGCACCCTCAGCCTGTTCCCACAGCCACGGTCCTAAGACACCAGAGAGCCAGGCCTTCCTCCACGGCCCCACATCTCTTCTAGCTCTTAGCTCTTTTAGACAAATGTCTAAGACATAAGCCCGCCCAGCCTCCAGCTCACCTACACCTCCCATCTCCCTGCTTAATTCTGGTTCCTTCACATGCTGGGCCTGGCATCAGAGAAAAGAGATGGGTGGATAAGTTTTACGAAACCTCTCTCATTCAGATCCCGCCTGGAAGGAAGCGTGGGGGAGTGAGGGTGACATCGGTAATATACACCCGCTCCCAACGTCACGGCTGCCCTGGCTGCTGCTTGCTTTGTTTTCAGCCGATCGCCTCTAACAAAGGCCTGGGTGGTATTTGTCAAACTACCTTTGAATGTGTATCACAGAATTCTTCAGTTGTTAGCAGCGGAAACGGACTGTGGTTAGATTAAGCCTTAATAATAATAACAGCAACAATAACAACTGTCTGTTGTTGTTTTTGCCATTAAAAGAAATAACCAAGCATAAGAAAAAATAGAAACCAGAGTAGATTGACTTTAGGAAGCCAGAATATAATGGACACCCTGTCATTGGTATGAATCTACTCCAATCCCACTCCATCGTGTTGGCACCCCACTCTGAATCTGAACCCCAGAGGGGGAAGTGTGATCAGCCAACCTCAAGTCCCACCCCACCACTTGGCTAAGGAAGGACAAGGCCCGTGATTGACAGTCCCACTGAAACTTTATGTAATGACAAAGAGGTTCTTGGACTAAGGTAGTCTTATTAGGAAGGGAAGGATGGTTGGCAGGCAAAACCCGCAGGTGTCCTCTACACAGGTGACATATTTTGTTTAGTCTTTATGGTTGAACTTTTTTTTAATCTAAGAAAAGTAGCAGTCAGATCATACCTGGCTATTCTCTGAAGTGAATCTATATATTTTCCAATAGGTAAACCTACTGTAACTCCTCATGGCCTTAGAACAGACATAGCCCTAGGAGAAGAGCAACTCCCATTCAAACGCCGTTTGTTCTTGTGGGAAAGTCAGGCAAGAAAAGCGGAGGCAGAGGTCAGGGTGGTCAGGAGGCTGAGTTTAGTGTTCAAAAGATGTGGGGTTGAATTCTAATTCTACTGACTGATGGCTTTGGGACCCCAGCCAAGACTGAACCTCAGTTTTTTTTTTCATCTGTAATAGGACCTTTCTTGCATAATTGTTTTCTGGATTAAATTGTACACACACACACACACTCACCCTAAATCTAGTACCACGCCCTAGTTTCTGGGCCTGGGCTTAGGCTAAGGGAGGTGCAAGGTCAAGGCAGGGGAAAGGGAAGCTGCTTTAGCTCCTAACCTACCACCACCTGCCACAGGTCATGGCCCCAGGTGTGCATCTGAAGTTTGCACCATGATCCCTTAATTTTTGGTGAGGGATATCTTTAGGACCCAAAGGTGGATTTTATTTTAGAAATTAACATTCATCTTGCCTCAACAAAGGTAAATTTTATATTTTTTTCATGTAGAAAGAGGTATTTTAAGTGATTATGAAAGTAAATCATGCCAATTATAAAACTAGACAGTGTAGGAAAAAATCTAAATGAAATGACTAGAAAAATATCTGTAATTTCATCATCTTAAACAACCACTATTAAATTGGGGTATATATCTTTTCAGATATTTTCAATATGTCTATACACATACAGATAGCTACTTGATTTCCATTTTAAGATGGAAAATTACTGTGAAATATTAATAACTTGTTTTATTAGCATAGTAGTTTTCAATCTCCTTCCTACCTCTGAAAGAATCACACATATGACACCCTCATCAGTAAAATGTCTTATTGCCTATCCAGGGTCATGCTCCTATCCTCCAAGCCCACCTCACCTCTACCATTGGAAGTCTCTGGGTTAACAGCAGATCATGAACATCTTTAGATGCTAATGAAAAAATAATTTATCTCATGGATGCATGGTAATCTGTTAAAAAATAATAGCTAACTTTTGTTACATTCTTATAGCAGGCACCATGCTCACCAATTGACACACATTGTCTGGTTGAATCCTTTCTCAAGTCCTACAGGGTAGGGTAGTTATGATTCCAGAGTCGAGGAAACTGAAGCTCAAGAAGATTAAGCAACTTGCTCTGGTTTCAGTGCTAGCAACTGGTAGAGTCAGAGTTTGAACTCAGGTCCTCTGACACCAGAGCCTGCTCCTGTTAGGCAGCCATTTGCCAGTAGCAACCAGGTTGGTGTGTGTGTGTGTTTTAAATCTTATTCACCCTAACACCAAGGTCTTTTTGTTATTTATTTTGGAATGATGTGCCTTTGTAGAGCAGGAAAGGATCTGTCTCGGTTTCTCCGCCTGTCAGTCAGCGAAGGCGTGGGCGCTGGGCCAGCTTCGCCCCCCTCCGTGTAGGGTCATAAGTACTTGTGTGTTTTTAAAACAACCTTGAGGCAGCTTGGCTCTGGCGAGGGGGGCTGATGGATGGGGGCGAGCCCCTGGACTGACTGCCCTTCGCCATGCCATAGTTATTTTTTCTTCTAACTCCCATTGTGACCTATCTGGAAGTCTGCAGAGGAGCAGGGCCGATTTATGGATGTGCCACCTAGAGCTGTGCCCGGGGCTGAAGTCTCCTGGGACAGCCAAGACCAAAACAGAAAACCAAAGCCCCAGGTGGAGCTGCCAGCGGAAGGAGCGGCAGGGCGCCTTTAGGGCGAGGCTGCCCGGGCCCATCCCTCTGACAGGCTGGGGGCCAGACAGGCGATGGCCTCGAGGATCAGTTTTCTGCCGCCACCCCTCTGCGCCCGCTGTCTCGCCTCCTGCGGGCATTTCAGCTTCGCTGTCGCCTCAGCCTCCGGCCTCCTCCCCACAGTCTTGACGTCCCCCTCACCGCCCCTCCTTCCAGGCCTGGCGATCATATCCTACCTCTGGGCAGACGGAGGCCTCTACTTTTCAACGTTTTATCTTTCTGGAAGAAGGCAGGCTGCATGGACCCCCTGGGACAGGGCAGGAGAGTGGGGCTGATGGAGGTTAAGTGACAACTATTTATTGAGTGGCCGCAGGAATGAAGGAAGGGACTGTGTCAGGCAGATGATGTGTGCGGGATCCAGGAGTCACCTCCCGGTATTGTCGCCCGCTGGGGTCAACGTGCCAACACCTTCATTTCCTCCCACCCGTTATCAGGCCCCACGGAGCATCTAGCCTCCGCCAGTTGGCGTCCGAAACCAATGTGTTGTGCCTGCTGGTGTCGCCTTTACCTTCTTGCCCCACCCAGATGTAATCTCAACGGGGTCTCTGCCTCGAGAAGTGTGCGTTGTCGCTCACTCATTCAGTGCAGTACCAGCTGTGTGCCAGACACCGTCTTAGGCACCCAAAGAAATAATAGGAAAAAATACTTATAACTCCTGCCTTCCTGACACTAGATATTAACCAGAGTCACGAAGAGATGACAAATGACAACAATGGGAGGGCTTTGGGGGAAAGGAATGTGGTGCTGGGGGCTTATTACTGGCCCAGTTTTATGGGGGCTTGTTACTGGCCCAGGTGGAGAGGAGCGTGCGACTTCATTGTTAATTGTTTCCAAGTCACCTCCAATGTTTATTAAAACTGAAAACAAAGAATTAACCCTTTGCGCCCACGCCTCCATCAGCAGTCACCTATAGTCCTACAAGGCTTCCTGCCAGTTCTTTTGGCCCCTTTCAGGTCTGTTTGACACATTGAAGACAGAGAATGTGAACTTGATTTTGTTATGTCCCAGCTTAAAATCTTCAGTGGCCTCCCAGTGCCCTTCAAATGAAGACCAATTTGCTCAACGTGGCCTCCCATGCCCTGGGCCACATGGCCCCTTTCTTCCCGTCTTACATTAGTCACTCCCCACCCCTCACTACCACAGCCACTCTGGCTTCTCCTATGTCCTCGGACACTCAGGGTCCTTGCACATATTGTTCCCTGTCTCTGTAATACTGTCTCACTCTGTTCACCTAACCATCTGTCACATGTCCTCTCCAAGGAGTTTTCCTCCAGAAAGCCTTCCTTGTCCACATGCTGGCACAGATTGCTAGTTTTAGGCCCCCCCGGACCTCTGTACTTTCCCTGATAACACTTGTCCCCACTTGTAACCGTATTTGGATGGGAGTATTAAGATGATGTCATGGGGGCTTGTGGGCTGGGTCTGCATCCGTTTTACTCACCATTGTATCCCTGGCACCTGGCACAGTGCTTTCCACCTTCTGAGTGCCCAAAGAAAGAATGGGTCATAAAGAAGGGTATGAATATTACAAGTGCAAAGACAACCCCCCAAGTATTATAGTTCACCTCCCTCAGTGTGCAGATTTGAAACTGGAGAATCAGAGAGGGGAGGTGACTTACCCAACATCACCCAGCAAGTTAGTGGCAGGACTGGTCTGGGACCATGGTTTACAGCTCCTGCCTCTCCACACAATTTCTCTATTTGCCCCAAAACTTTCAAATTCTTTGAGATCTAGATCTAAGACTGAGTCACAGTGTGTTAAGTGGAGAAGCCATCTGCATTAAACATTACAGAGTTTTAGGTGAGTTCTGCAGCTCATTAAGTCTCATAAGGCCTGAGGACTCATTTGAATCTTTTTTCTAAAATTGATTTTTAAGTGAACTCTGAGGTCTCAGCGGAGACCAGTTGTCAGACACAGGCAAGGGGGCCGTGGCCTCTGGCCTGTGAACAAACCCTCAGCCCTCTGTCTTTCTAGATGAGTTCATAGAGTCACAAGACGTGGAGGCCGCCTTTCTAACAGCTCTCCTCCCCAAGGAAGCCTGGTAATGAAACCTGCAGCAATGAAACGTGCCCAAGCAATGCCATCTCATGGCCAACAAGGGCATTTCCTGAACTCTGACAGAGGAGTGAACGTTTCTTCTGCCTCTGGAAGGATATTTATGCACCTCTGAAGTGTGACCAGGACACAGCTCAAAGGTGTCAGATGGTTCCTCTCTGTGGATATTAAGCAGCAGCTTCTCTATCTTGTCTTACGTCCCAGAACCATGTGGCTGTGCAGGGCACTGGAGAAAAAGCAAACCATTCTTAATGAATGGCATGGTCCCAGGACCTGGGCAGGACCAACAAAACAGCCAGGGTTCTTCACCAGGTGGGTGAGACCCTCAGGGAAGGAAAGAACCAGGGTGCAATCAAAGACCAGGCATGTATAGTCAGCCAGGTTGAGTTACCAGGAGCAAGTCCCCCCTCCCTGGAGTCTTAGTTTTCCATCTGCACAATGGTCTGAATGTAATGCCTACTTTCTATGTTCACTTACTGGGACAGATGACATTGTGGGGAACAAGCAGGACACAGTCCTTGCCCACGTGGAGTTTACATTTTGGAAAGGGAGACAGACATTAAATACATATTTACTTAACACTTGTTCAATTTCAACTGTGCTGAGTATCATTCAGGGGATAAAACAAGCTATAAATAGTGGTTAACATTTAAGTGCTATGTGGGGACAAAGGGCCAGATGCTTTGCATATAAACTTAATCACCACCACAACCATACGCATTAACATGGGCTACTTTTCAAAGCGCTTATCATATATTAATTCATTTAATTCTCATTTTAAAATACCTGTGATGTAGAGACTACTCTTATCTGCAGTTTAGAGGTGAGAAAACTGAGGTACAAAGAGATTAACTTGCCAGAGGGAACTCAGCCACTAAGTGGCAGAGAAAGAACCCAGGCAGCCTGGGCTCAGAGTCTGGATGCCACAGGCCCCCCTGGGGACATCACTGTCTCACTGATCCCTGCGACAGCCTGCTAAGCACCTCTGCTGTTCTCATTTCCCACGCTTGGACCCCAGAGCCAAATGTGTGACGCCTCCGAGTTTGCACAGCTAAGAGGCAGGGGCGGGCTGTGGCCACACTGGGGCTCCTGCGACGCGCGGGCATGGTGTCCCCAGGGCCGGTTCCTGATGTCTCCCCTGGCCCTGTCTTGCTCAGGTGTTCCTGAAGAGCGACCGTGTGGCCCGCATGGTGCAGAGCGGGGGCTGCTCCGCCAACGACTCCCGGGAGGTCTTCAAGAAGCACATCGAGAAGCGGGTGCGCAGCCTGCCCGAGATCGATGGGCTCAGCAAGGAGACCGTGCTCAGCTCCTGGATGGCCAAGTTCGATGCCATCTACCGCGGGGAAGAGGACCCCAGGAAGCAGCAGGCCCGCATGACAGCCAGCGCAGCCTCCGAGCTGATTCTGAGCAAAGAGCAGCTCTATGAGATGTTCCAGAACATTCTTGGGATCAAGAAGTTTGAACATCAGCTCCTGTACAACGCCTGCCAGGTAAGTTGCCTGTCGCCTGGGCCGAGTGGTGAGTAAGCAGGACTGTGTTATGACTTCTCTGTGCCCTCGACGCTGCTGCCTTCTTGGGGTATTTCTTGACTTAAAGAAAAGCGACACATTAAAAATTATGTTTTACAACTGCATTGGTAAAAGTTGAATATAATTCAGGCTAAAACAGGCTAGCATGTTTTTCTTCTGATTTTAAAAGAAATGAAAACATTTTTGTGAGCCCCTACAAGTCTCGTGGTCCTTAGGCACTCTGCTTAATGTGTCTAAGGGCAAATTGGCCTTGTGAGTAAGGCCTAGCTCCCGAGTGTCAAAAGTCCAATAAGATCAAAGTAATGATTTTTTTTTAAAAAAAAGATTGTTTTCCCTTTAAAAAAGATGGTGTTTCCCGCTTGAGGGGCTCTTACTTCCTCAGCTAGGGAGACAAATGGACTTTGCGCTGGTCATCAAGAGTAATTATTTAAGTATACCATATCCATAGATTAGTCACATCGTTAGTTTCTGAGTGGATCTGAAGGGCTAGCTGAGGCTTGCTTGGGCCCAGCCCAAAATGAGTTCTATTTTCTCTGGGTTGGGGGTTGGGAGAGTGAAGTATCTACCCTAGATCTTCATTTCCTGTGAACCTTTCCATTATATTCCTGCATTCATACAACCAATATTAAGTGCTATTTTGCAGTCTCTGCAAATTTAGTGATTGGCACTTGGGAGCATTTGTTAAATGCACATTTCCAAGCCCCAGCTGGAGACATGCTGGTTCTGCATGGGCCCAGAAATCTGCATTGTAAACAAGAGCCTCCCTTCCTGGGTATTTTGCTGCCCAATCCTTCTAAGAACCGTTAGAGAAACTCAACTGTGTCCTGATTCCCCTGCGCCAACTCTGCCCCTAAGGTAGTTTAAATGAAGACACTCGAGCATATTGGCTAAGATTTGTGCCTTGGTCAGAATCAGACAGACCCAGGTAAATCTTACTGTGACCCCTCTCTAGCATTGGCCTTAGGGAGATAGTTAACCGCCCCACACATGAGCTTGGGATGAAACTATTATAAGGATTCAATGTGTATAAAGCCCAGAGCAACATGGGGCATTTTATAAACGGTAGCAGCTAAAACACATGACAGTCTACAGGAAGAGGCAAAAAGCCACCAGACAGCATCAGAGCAGTGCCACGGATCTCCACGGGATCGTAGGCTAGCTTCTCACCTCCACGGCTGCCCCCTAGTTCAAGGCGCCACCATCTCTTGCCTGGATGACACAGTTTCTACCCAACTGATGATGCAGCCTCCTCCCCTCCCCATGGCCAGGCACCCACCAAACACAGTCAGAGTGATCTTCTTCAAATATAAATTGGGTAACACCAGTCCTGTGCCAGAAACCTCCCAGTGGCATCCTGCCACCCTTAGAAGGCGCCCCAACTCCTCACTAAGGCCTGAGGGGGCACACGGAGCAGCCCTGCTCCCAGCACACTCCCCGCGCGCTTACTCTCGGGCCTTCTTTCCGTCCCCCCGGCACATCACATTCCTTCTGGGCCTTTGCATTTGCTCTCCCCTCAGCCTACAGTGCTCTTTGCCAAGACCTTTGCGTGACTGGCACAGCTCGAATGCCAGCTTCTCCAGGCCACCCCTTCTAAAGTTCTGCCTTGCCCCCAGCTCACCAAGTCACTCCGCCCCACACCCCTGTTCTGCTTCCTTCACCGTCTCCCCTATTCCATTTCTTGTTCATCCTTTTTTGCCTGTTTGTCTCCCTCTCCTTGCTCGCCCTTCACCAGAATGTTAGCCCCCTTCATCTTTGCATTATTTGCTAATATTTCTAGCACATGAAACAATTCTTACACAGAGTGAGTGATCAGTAATTGCCCAATGAATTAATAAATGACGGCAGATTATTTTAACTGGTAAATCAGGTCTTGTCAACCCTCATGGCTTACCCAGAACTTTCTGGATATTTTAGTAAGTGGGAATCTATTTAGCATTTCATAATATAATATGTACATTACAGTTAAAGATATTTCTGACATCCTACCTTCTTCTCAGCCACTCCAATTCAGAACACTGATCGCCAACACAAAGGTAGAAGGAGTTTCTTTGATGGATTGAGAAGTATTTTGAAATTCTCCAATAAACCTCAATATAAAATTAAATTTAACTATTCTTTTTATTTAAAATATTACTGCATCCCTCATGGCACTTTTTGAGTGGAGTAGGCAAGTGGTTACCATCTAGCACCGCCACTAACCCTGATAACCCACTGCCATCTTCTCCACCACAAGGAGGTGGGTTGTCAGAGCTTCATAAAGATTGACAGTCACCCACCTGGGTGGTAATTAAGACTCAAAATTACAGAGATAGTTAAGTGTTCCTAAACCTGATGGACAAAAAATTATTCTAGAGATTAACTTCTATTGCAACAACTCATTAAGTGCACTTTCTATTCTTGCTCAAACATCAGCATCCTTGGAATGAATCCATTGCTATGCCATTTCTTACCTCAGTACGTCTTAACTTGTTGAATGGGGCTACATGGTCAGACCATAGTTTGCTGTTTTCCCCTAAAAAATAAAAAGAATTAATTTGACTCATATTTTCTAAATCTTTTCCAAGAGTTAGAAAAAATAGAATAATAATAATAAAAGGAGGTCTCTCTCCCAAGAATAATGATTGTTCCCTTAGCTAAAAGAGATTATAAGAAATGCAAAGTACTTCTTGGGACAGGAATACTTAAAGCATTTAGTATTATATTCAATTCTCTCAGTTAAGTCTGATTATTACTTCAGGGATGCACAACAATAGAAATTAGAACAAAGAGCATATACAGGTAATTCACAAAAGAAAAATATACATGAGTTCTAAATATATGATTAATTTTATGTTTCATGTCTTTAATAATCTGACTTATATAAGTATATTGGCAAATAATACAAGTATTGTAAAAGAAGGACAATGGTAGTGGTAATACACTGCAAATGTTATAGAAATGGGTGTTCTCATAACTGACTGTGGGAATAATTTATTGTTTTAAACTTTCTGTAGAGTAATCTGTTAATGTTCAGCAGAACGCCTTTGTAAAGGGCAAACCTGCTGGCCTGGCAGCTCTCCCTCTGGGAGCTGGTTGTAAGCAAACACTCAGAGGTGTGCGCGAGGGTGCTGAGTCCGAAAGTGTCACTGCCGCGCTTCGCGTGGCGGGGGAAACCTGGAACAACTTTCATTCCCAACAGTAGGCAGTTAACTCGATTTTGATTTAACCACATAAAAGAATACTCTTCAGCCAATAAAACAGTTGTTGAAGAAGAAAGCTTACCACATGGGAAATGTTTGCTGGCTCCTGTTAAATGGAAAACCAGGCTCTGAAACAGAGCGTGAGGCATAATTTTACTTTTATGGAAAAAGAACTGGATGGATGAAAAACAAAATCTTAACTGCTTATTTTTAGGGGTATAGTATTATGGTTGATTTTTATTGTTTTCATTTGTGCTTTTCTGTGTTTCTAATTTTTCCGTCTTAACTATGGAGGTATTTTGTAAATGGAAACAAATAGCAAAAATCTCAGCAAAGAAGCTGTCAAAACAATAGGATACGAAGAAAGCTGTCGTCTGCCTTGTTTTCTAGACTTCAGCCATTAATACACCACCTTCGTGATTTTTGCCATTTCCAAGTACTACCTGTATGATTACTTATTTAATATTTCTAACTAAACCAACTCCGAACTCACTTTTTAAAACGATCGTTCTCTTTAGAAGTAATGTATGTAAAATCTCAGCTTTGAAGTATTAGGTTTTTTTAATTTAAAAAATGGATTAAAGTGAAACATAACCAGTAAATCAGAAGTGCTTCCTCGGTCCGCCCTCATGAAGCCTGCACACCACCGGTGATGCGGCGGCCTGGCGGGGAAACCGTGGCCGCCCAGGGGCGAGCCCTCTGGTGCCCGGCTGGCCAGAGCAGCTTTCACACACGCTGCACTCCTCCCGCCCTGCGGCCAGCTTTCAGGAATGATAGATCCCAGGCCCCAGCCAGGGGTTCAGTTGGTTGGAGCATCGCCCCGATACACCAAGGTTGCAGGTTTGATCCCCAGTCAGGGCACATACAAGAAGCAACCAGTGATGCATAAATAAATAGAACAACAAATCGATGTTTCCCTCTCTCTCTAAACAATCGGTAAAGACATTTTTAAAAAGAAATTACAGATTCATTCCCTGGCTTTCTCATATATCACGCTGAGCTCTGCAGAACTCTATTAACAGAGGAGCAAAGCTATTGAAGGGAAAATCACTTGGCTTTCATTCTCGCTCTGCTTAAATTGTTATTTGTTTTGTTCTGTATTTTCTGGACCTTCCTATGAGACAAAGCAATTCCTAGGCGCTTCCAAAACCAGAAATGTGCACATTTTCTTCTGCTCTGCTTAAATTGTTATTTGTTTTGTTTTGTATTTTCTGGACCTTCCTATGAGACAAAGCAATACCTAGGTGCTTCCAAAACCAGAAATGTGCACATTTTCTTCTCACGCATGTTGAATTCCAGGGGAAGCTGTCATCTGACTTCTGTTGCTGCTTTTAAAGGTTCTTGTGGTCTCTACAAGGTTCTTCCAGTAACTGCAGTTTTCATCTCAAATGAGAAATGATGTTTATCAAAGAGCGATTTTATCAGTTAAATTCTAGTTGTCTATTGTAATGCAAACTGGGTCTATCAAAACTTTTTAAAAAGCAGGAGGCTTAACAAATGTCTCCTCGTTTGCATGTGGGAGTTTTAAAGTCTATGTGGCTTATCTGAGAATGCATGGTCGTACCTCATGGGAGAGTTTGCTTGTACGCAGCATAACAATCGATGTAAAATAACTGGAAACTCTTATTCTGAAATCAGTATTGTTTTTGTTTTCCTAGACTCTGGGAGGAAGCAGTTAATGATGTCGCTATTTAGGCATTTGAGTTGAATTCTAAACCTAACTCAAAAAAAGTGGGATAACCTCTTTGAGAATGGATAGAATCGCCTGGGAAATGAAACTAA